TTTTTTTTTGGATTTCTATGGACGTACCTGTTCTGTATATTTCATGTAAAAAGAATATACACTATGTGACCTTGTGTGTCTGGCTTCCTTCCCTTAGCCTACTGCTGAGGGTCTTACACATTATGTATGTGGCAGCACTTCATTCTTTTTGCAGTTGGATATAACAGTGATATGCATAAAGTAGAAGGGAGACCATTAGAGAGGAGGACAGCAGTGGGGAGAGGTAAGGGAGGCTCGTAACGGTCATGGAGGATAGGGACAGGTCAAAGGATGTTATATGCATGAAAATCTCACAATGAAACTCAGTCTGTAGAACTATTATGTAGCCATATAATGGTGTGTATGAATAAAAATGGTGAATGGTATGTATAAATAAGAATGTTATCACTTACATGCGTTTCTAGCCTTATTTTATTTCTCTATAATTACTGACCCTTGTTCAATCTGTTGCCTATTAGATGTTGTTAATGTTTAAAAAACCCATATCCATAACATTATTTTTGTTTACCTCTTTTGTAGACTGAAAAAAGCCCTGTTGAAGTGGATCTTTTATCATTTGCAGATGACCTGGAAGAAAAAATAAAACCTTTGGTGAGTTCAAATAGTCCCGTTAAAGGTCACATGTCAGTACTGGTGTGAGGGAGGCAACTGAAGTTTTCCTTTTGTATGAGTTTAACCTTTTTGAACAAGGCCCAACTGATGTGGGTTAACAGTTGTTACTGGTAGCCATGGTCACGCTGCCTTATTACCCACACAAGAATGCATGTGCGTGCACGCTCATGTGCACACACACACACATGCATGCACACCATTTTTCTTAAAGTATAGGGACTAGAAATTGAGAGTTGGGGAGGAAAACTCCATACAGTGCTTTGCATTGTGGGTATTAAGTGGATAATGGTGGGCAGAGGCACCTTTAGATGCCACAGCCTTCCACTTCATCACCTCCTCTGCTGGGTGTTGACTACATGACCTTAACTGGTCTCCTCCAAGAAGCAGCAAACTAGAAATGAGAACCCTGGGCTCTGGAGGAAGACTTGGGTTTGCGCTCAGCCTCTTTACAACAGTGGGAGATTGAGCAAGATATTTTGCCACTCTGTGTCTTTGTTTCCCTGTGTATAAAATGGGGGTACCCATTCCTTTCCTGTAGGACTGTTGTCATTGATGAACTAAACATCAGGTATGGATTACATAAACAGCTCTTGGCTGAACCATGATTTTCTCCTCTAGGACACAGGGAAACCCATAGTGGCTACCATGGTGTGGCAGAGAAAGACAGTACATGGTGCTGGGGGCTTAGGAAGGGCTCCTGAGGGAGAGGTGGGCTGAGAGGCCCTGGATCTGAGATTCAGAGTGGGGTGTCTTGGCAAAGGCCCCTGTGGCCAGCCCCTGACTACCTGCAGTCTCAGTTTCCGATTTGGGAGGGTATCGTTCTAGGAGCTGGGGCCCCTCTTCACGCTGAGTGCGGGCTTCGGGGACCACAGAGATCATGTCATCTTTATTTGTTTCCATCTTTATTTGTTTTTTGCTCTTTATAGCCTGCAGGAAATCTGAAGCATGGCCTCCAAGCCCAGGCACAGGCTACTAGAAAAATTCACAATGAACAAGTCATTCCCATGGAACAGTCACTGGTAACAGTCGCCAAGCTGATAATTCCCTGGGGCCGGGGCTGAGCTGCTGGTTCCCGGTTGCCTTCCATTTGGTCTCAGGGCACCTGCTTACATCGCACAGGTCCCTTCCAGGGCCTCAGCCTCAGCTCTGAAGAACACAGAGCCACAATAGGCGCCAGCCCTCCACTTCCTTGCTCCCCCTTCCCCAGGAGTGACAGCAGAGAGTTGCAGTGGGTGCCTGCTCTGTCCCCTTGCTCTGATGGCTAAGGCCGCTCCTAGATCTCCTGAACCCTGCATGTAGTATGGTGCTGCTGACTTTGTTTTGTCTCAGTATCACTATTGTCCAATCCTTTTTCTCCAAAATCTGTCTGGAAGACCTGGGGATATAGCTCAGTGGCACAAGTGCCTGCAGGCAAGTGCAAGGTCCTGAGTTCAATTCCCAGTACCAAAAAGAAAACAAACAAAATCTGCCTAGAAATATGTGAAGGTGTGGCTAAGTGCTTTTCTTCCTGCATCTAGCATCCACATAACTCTGCTGCTTGCCGCTGAGGCCACCCTGTTCCTCCTCTTTCCCGTACTGGCCTTGCCGGTCCTCTCACTTCCTTCTTGAAGGCAGTAGGTAGTTTGCAGCCCAGAAACAAGAGTAGAGTCTGGCCACCCTCTGTTCACTTTCTGTTTCTGCCTCTCCGGAGGACTGCAGCTCCTCAGTTTCCTCACCTAAAAATAAAATTTAAAAAATTAAGAGTAAAAATTGCAGAAATGATGCCTACATTGCCATTCCCTGGCTCACAGTGATGAAGGGCTGCTGGTCTCCGAGAGACTCGGAAAAGTGACAAATTGCTATGTATGTATGTGGGGCCAGGGGCGGCCTGTGGGCGGATTGGGCCCCTGGGTCAGTGCTCAGGTTTGGAAGCATATTTTGTGTCTGCTCAGTCCCCAATGCATTCTCTGGGTCTAGTCATCATGGCCTGTCTTGTTTGCTTGCTGGCTTCATAATTCGCTGGGGAAGTCACGAAGTCCTCCTGTTAAATTTGCGTAACGTGTGTCCTGGGGGCCTCACCATCCTCTGCTTAGCCTTGCTTACAGCCACACAATGTTGTTGACATTTTCAGCTGCCTTGGCATTTTCCTTAGACCATTTTCTTCAAGTGGACAGGGTTCCTTGGACTCTCTGGAGCAAGGGCAACCTAGTCATTAAAAGTCACGTTGTTTCACGCATGGTCTAACCAGGGGTTGGCAAACTATGGCTTTTGTGCACTACAGCCTGGGGCCAAATTGTCCGCAGCCAGTTTTATAAATAAAGTTTTATTGGAACATAGTCATGCTCAACTTACTTAACAACTATCTGTGGCTGTTCTTTTTTCTGAAGGCAAAGCAGAGGAGCTGGGACAGACTGTGGCCTCCAAAGCCAAAAGTAGTTCTCAAATGGCCTGGTATAGATAAAGGTCACGCTGGCCTAAAGCATTTGGCTGAACCATACCTGTTTTTAAAAGTGTCTTAGTACCTTCCACACTGGTCAGACCTACCTCAAGGGGGCTTCTTGGGCACCTTGTGTGTGTTGTGCTGCCACACGGAGCGTTCGAGTACGCCTCCCGATTTCCTTCCACTCATGTCACGACTCGTGTGTGTGACGCTTTACCTGGAAGGGAACCCTCCCTGTGTAAAGTCTGCTTTGCTGGCTGTATCCCAGGAGGGCGACACGACGCGTAGTCTTGCTGTTTTGTGTACTAATTTTGAAAATGTTATCTTTGTTCTCTAGAGCAATTTAAAGGAAAATGTCAGGAATCTTCAACGCATGAGCGATGGATTGACGGTCAGCATATATTTTGCTTTCCTGCTGTGGGCTTTATTATCAGATACCATGCACACAAGTTCAAAGATGTCGACTTTATTTGTTTATTTACGGTCTTGCAATAAAAATGTTTATCTAAAGAATATTTAGTAGGTAAATGCAAAAGGCATTCACGATAAAAAGTCTCAGGTATCTATTCATTTTAAAATGAGTTTTCCTACTATATTCTTTCTGCAAATACTACTGTGGATGCAGAGCTCTTTTTAGATTGTTAGATCCATAGGTGGGACATCTGTGTGTTGCTGTGTAGGGTGCAGCTCTAGAAGGCATTCTGGGCACCTTTACAGAGATCATGCTATGTAACAAACTGTCAATCCCAGAACCTTTCATGCACAAGAGTTTATCTCCTCTCGTGGGCTGACCAGGGGCTTCTCTACCTGTCTTGAGGACCCCAGCCTAAGGAGGACCCCAGCCTAAGGAGCAACTCCTCCCTGGGCCACCTCAGGCTCTCCTGGTGGAGGACATGAGTTCAGGCATGAACGGAATGGAAACGCTCATTGCTCTTAAGCACCGTTCAGAACTGGTGGCACTGCCACTTTGACCAAAGCGAGTGATGTGGCCATGTGTGTGGTCAGCATCCTCAGGGTGGGGAACTTCAGCTTCTATCAGACCCTGTAATCCCAGCACTTTGGAGGCTGAGGCTGGAGGATCGCTGTGAGTTCAAAGCCAGCCTGAACTGTGAAACCCTGTCTCAAAAAGAAAAAAATGTATAATATGTGTGTTAGGTGCATGTACCAACTCCCCATGGTGGATGCAATCATCATGTACAGCAGATGTGTAAAATAAAAACAAAATAGTAGTCTTGGGATGCTGTGTAGAGGAAGGCATGATGTGTGCAGGTTATTTGCAGACGCTGTGCCATTTTATACGTGGGACAGGAGCATCTGTGGCTTTTGGTATCCAAGGGAGGCTCCTGGAATCAATCTCTAGGGACACTTGCCCTGGAACTGAGTTGCAAAATGTTTACTGAATCCCGGTGTTGGCCGATCCCCCTCCAATTGCTGTTGTGTTTTCCAGGAGAAAATGAACAAGACCCTTGACGCTTTGGATTCTGCTCAGAGCTTCATCACAAACAGTGTCTCCTCTATTATCATTGAAGTGAGTTTTCTTTTCAAAAAATAAGCCAATTAGTAAGCAAACGCGTTCCCCTTCTCTGACTAAATAGCCAGAAAATGTAAGTCTGCTGCTTTTGCTGTAGTGATGTGCTAACCTAATCTTTGATTTCTTTCCAGGAAACTAAGAAGTATGTGCGAATAATACTAGGGCACTTTGAACGTTATCTACATTGGGTCAAGAGTGCTGTAAGTAGTAAACCTCTTTTATGAATAAAAAAGGGCCACATGGTAGAGGAGTCATTTTCTAGAGTAAAATCTGGAGAAAGTAACATTAAATTCCTGGTAATTTGCTCAGAAGTGAAAGGACTTCAAAGTACGGAGACCAGGCCCTCCAGAGCTAAGCCAGCACATAAAGGAAGTGACCTCCTTCAAGCCCCTTGTATCTCTTCACTCGCTGCTATCATACGGGTTCTTCCATTTTCTTTTCTCCTCCTTTGTCAGATAACAAAAGGGTCCCATAACAGATCTGGACTACAAGCCTGTGCTGCACATGCGCACGGTCTAGTCTTCTCAGCTGTCCTATTGGATGGGTTGTTGGGTTCCGAGAAACAAATGAATAAGACTGGAAAGTGCGGCTCGTTGGGAGCGTGTTCCTCAGCCCTGCAAGCCTGGTCCATACACGTCAGACGCCAGCTCAGTGTCTTAGAGGAATGGGGGTCCTTTCGGGAATGCAGGTCCAACGCAAGTGAGATGCCAAGTTTTCATGGAGTTTTCAGAGTGTGACCCAATGAAAATTTGCCTTTGCTTCTTATCCCATAGATCACTGAGGAGATGGGGTCCTGCAAGCCCGTGACCACCGCCCTGGATTCTGTCATTAATGTCGTTCTGTGTGGCTACATTGTCCACCCGCTGGTAAGATTTCATCTTTCCAAAGCAGGCATAATAAATCCACCATCTTTGACCCCCTTGCAGGGTGTAATGAGCCTGCTATCGCATGAGGTTTTTGCTTGGACTGGGTATAGTTCTAGAATTCAAACCCTAAAATCTAGATCAGTGAGTTAGTACTGCTACTAATGGAGATTTGAAAGTCCTACTTGCATACCTTTGCTCGTTACTAAACTGCATTACAGAAGTCAGAACAATGGCCCTGTTCATCAGGAATCATAGAAAGGAGGTCGCTGCTGGGCCGATGGCTAGTGCTCCGGGATTCCAAACGGAACTAGCCACACAACCCCAGAGCACTGCAGCTCCTGCTTTGCTATCTCAAAGGGTTCTGCTACGTGAGACCTCAGTGATGGAGTTCAGTGCACCGGGTTTATTCCTTGGCTCTGTTCGTTGTGGGTTTGTTGTTGTTGTTTTTAATTTTATTGAGAAACAAATAGTAATGAGACAGTTTCACAATCGATTAGCAGGACAGTTTCAATAATTAATACATTGCATATTGTTGTCCTCATAGTGGTTAGTCATAGTACAAGATGCAGACATGATATCCTGTCCAAACACTATTAGTACAAGTCTTTCCTCACTAGCTCCCCCTAGTGTCTCAGTGGCTTCCCACAGCTTCAGTATAAAGGCCCGCTCCCTTAGTGGGCTACTCTAGCTCCCCCTGCCGGGCTGCCCACCATCGCGCCTCACTTGCGGCTGTTGCCCCCCTTTCTCCCTATGCACCCACGTCCTTGTTTCCTTTCATTTCTTCCCTGTCCTCCCGCCAGGCCTCCGCAGGGCTCGCTCTCCTCTTCTGTCTCTCGCCGTCCCTCCACCCTGTCCCCTCCCCCCCGAACTTCCCCAGATTTTGTAACACACTCTAAATTCAAGCTCCACTTCTCTGCTCTCTGAACTCCGACTTTGAAAAACAACTGAAGTTTTCGGAGCTTCCTCACCTGAGTGGGGCTGTCGTGAGAGCCCCAGGACTTTATAGCAGGTGGCTGAAAGAATGAGGAAAAGCGCTGGGCATCAACTTCAGCAACAAAATAAATCACAGGCCAGCTAATGTGCTTCTTTTATACCTTGGAGGAGACCCAGAGGATTAAGGCAGCTTCTAGAAAAAGAAGAAGGCCATAAAACTCTACGATCTATCTGAACAAGATTAGAAATATAACAGATCTTCTAGTCAAAGAACAGGGAGAAAGAGTGCATTTATGTGAAATTAGAGGTCAGAAAGGGGCCACCAAGTTGCGAAAGTAGACTTAGCCAGGAAGAAAGCAGGTATCAGGGCCAAGCCAGGAACAATCGGGTGGCCGCTGGTATGGCCCAGCTATATTCTGCACAGTGGTAGCTGGCAGGGTGGCGTGGGGTGTTGCTGCAGCTTCGCCCAAGCAGGAGATCAGATGTGAGCTTCTACAGGCATCTAGAGGTTGTAGGTGTGCAAGGCAGGCTGAGCAGGAGGCTGTAATGTTCCGCCTCCAGGGGACCCACAGGGTGGTATCCTATACAAAGCTACTCTGATTGGTTGGGGAGGTGAAGAAATTTGAAATATTTGAATATTATCCTGCACACATTAGTGACATGGACTATGCCAAACCTAGGGCCAGATCCCCTTGAAAGAAGAACTGCTACTCAGCTACCCTTGTCTGGCCATTGCTCTATGGGAGCAGGGCCCAGTGTCATGAAATGAAACTTCAGATTTTTCATTTCCTGGGTGTAAGTCGGGGTTCATGTATGAGATTTGAGTCACAAATATCAACAACTATTTTATAAAGAATACTTTTAGCATTTTTTTTTTAGACCAAACATGGTTGAATTCAACCACAGGCAACCTTCAGAATAGGTTACATATGGCGCATTCCTTGAGACCCTAGTATGTGCTTCTGTCTTTGTCAGAATGAAAGATGCCACTGTCCCAAGTGTGCAGATACAGATGCCATCAGAAAGATTACCCCTTCTAAGCGGGCCATCAGCTTGGACATGTCGAGCTGCCAGACTCCCGGTCAGACAGCCAGGCAGCAGGGGCAGTCACAGCGTGTGTGGCCAGAAGCTACTCTGGAGGCTCCCAGACTGAATCCTGGCTTCCCCAGTGACTCTTCTGGAAAATGAATAACAGGGTCTGCCAAGGTTTCCAGGAGAATAACTGGATTCTAACTCAATGTAGCAACTCAATGTTTCACAGTGGCTGTTTGTGTTAGGTCCGCTAATGAGTTTAAAGAACAAAATGAAAAACTCATGTAAAAAAATTACAAAAAAAAATTTCTCCCCAGATAGCTATTGTCTTACACATCCTGTCTTCAAGCATTTAATTCTCTGGGTTTTTTTTTTTTTTTTGTCTCCCAGAATTTATTTTGGTTTGGCATAGGACAAGCTACTGTGTTATTACTTCCAGCCATAATCTTTGCCGTGAAGCTGGCCAAGTACTACCGCCGGATGGACTCCGAGGATGTGTATGATGAGTGAGTAGCTCAGTGTCTTCTTCTCCTGGTGGCTGGGGGACCATTTTCTAAGTAGTGCTGTTTTCCAAGAACTGCTAAAGATAAGCTCCAACGAGCCTGAGCTTGGCTTTCTCTTTAAATGGTGGGTCATTCCTTTTTGGTGTGTTGGCTGGTTAGTTTATATCTTATACTGGTTTTCTTATGCTTGTTGTAACAGTTTCCTTTCTCTTGCTTGCTCTGCGTTTTTAACCAGCCTTCTTTTTCTTATTCGCAGTTCCACTCTCTCGGGGACTTGGCATTTTACTTTATGATAACTGTTGTCGCTACTTTTCCGTTGGCTCTGTAGCCCACCTCCCGTGTATGTGGTAGCCTCTGTGTCTCATTGCCACGTCTCTCATCTTCTCAACGTGTTTTTCTCTAGAATGCGCACTGTCAGCATCCGTCCTGGAGTAAAAATGTTGGGGATACAGTTGTTGAGCTTGAATAATAACCAGAAAATAAGTAATTCTATTTCCCCCTTTTGTATTTTATAGTGGTGAAATTCTACCCATGAAAAAGTAAGCCTTTTTTAAAACTCTCTGAAGATGGGATGGGGGAGGCTTCTGTTATTATATAATGAAGTTTTAAGTGAAATGAATAACATCTTACTGGCATTAAAAATACTAGACATATCCAAGTTAAATTATGACACCTCTTAAAATGAGAACCAGCACATAGAAGGTACTTAAGAAACATGAAGGAATGAGCATTTTATATGTTAACTTTATTAATCTATAAAGTAGTCTTTTCCATCTTGATTCTCTCTAAAAGGAGTGAAATACATGTATATCCTTAGACCTTGGCGGCTTTAGCATCCCATCTTGTGCTTCTCATGACCATTACATTGTCTTTGTGTTCTGTGGTGTAAGCATTTCATCGTAGAGGTAACATGTTATTTTTGGTATATTTATTTTTGTTACAGTATGGAAAATGGTAATAATGGTTATCATAAAGATCATTTATACGGTGTGCACAACCCCATTATGACAAGGTAACTTGAAGCCTGGAAATGCATGCCTGTCCTGTGACGAACCTGCTTGTCCCCTGTCATATGACCCTGAGCCCTCTGCATGCTGCCGACCCCCCACGTGTCCCTGCCTGCAGGACTTTCACTTGGGCTGTCTCCAGCCCCCTTACCTAGCATTGCGTGATGCCCTGTGTTTGCATTTTTAATGGATTTCTTTGTAAGGGAATTGTACAACAATTGCTTGCATCTTACAATGCTGTGTAAGGCTCACCTAAATCATCACGGATTAAATGCATGCACATCTTTGATTTAGCATTTCTGCATTAAATAAACTTAGGTACTTCTAGTTTTCCACACCTACCCCTTTTTTCCTCCCTTCTTCCTTTCCCTGTTTCCTTCCAGTAAATTAACTATAATCAAACAGAAAAAGAGCTCCAACCTTTTGACCAAACTCTTTATGAATTTACACTCTCTGAAATCAAAGAGCTTTCTGTGGTTCTGGATCTTTACCAGGTAATTCTGAATATTACCTGTCAGGTGTCTTCCTCCAGGGCTCCACCAGAACTCGAGAAATATGTGTCAACCAGGAACCTATCCATTGAGATGAGGTGGAAACAGGAGGTCCAGAGCCCAGCAAGAAGCCATCTTCCTTGGACTGTGTGGTCCTCCCCCTGTCCTCCCCATGGTCCTAGTGTCCTTTGACATCCCTTCCCCCAGGGACATCTCAAGCAGGTGCAAAGCTGTGAGTCCAGCATCAGTACTAGGGTGATCACTTTGTCCTAAAAGTCTCACATTCTGCATGGTCACCAGAATAGTCAAAGTGGAAACCTTGAAGTTTGGGCTCCCCCAGGGGTTTTTAGTAGAGTCTCAGGGGGGTGCATCTTAGGCAGGGTTGGTTAGTAACAGCTGATGTCGTATCTTTCTCAAGTGAAAGAAACAGAACCAGAAAGATAACGACATTTTGTCTTTTCAGAAGAATAAAAGATTTTTCCGAACTTGCAACTTGAGCATTAGAAGCAGTTGAGAACTACTCTCAATGAGACATTTAGGAAATATGACATTGTCTTACTGTCTTGGGCTGCTATAACAAAATAGTATAAACTCGATGGCTGGTAAGTGACAGAAATTACTTTCTCGCATTTCTGGAGGTGAGGAAGTGACAGTCATCATGCCGTCGGGTTCGGTGTCTGGTGAGGGCTGTCTTTCTCATGGAAGCTCCTGCCCACCATGTCCTCTCATGGTGGAAGCACCAAGCCAGCTCTCAGTCACCTCCCCAAGGTCCCTACCTCCTACCACCATCATCTGGGTGCTAAGGACCTCAGTTTATGAATTTGAGAGGACCACAAACGTTCATCCTACAACAGAAATGGCGATAGTCAAAAACAGAGACGATGGTGCTCTGGATGGCCAATGGGCCTCCTCTCCCTCGCTTCTCGCAGGACACTAGACATGGCTGCTGGAGTGCTGTGTTGTGAGACTGACCCGGGACAAGCCGCTCCAGGGAGTCGGTAATACCACGGCCTACGTCATGTACTGACCTACCTTGTCATGAGGTGGCACAACTGCAGGATGACTTTGATTTATGGACTGAAATTTTGAAGATGCAAGGGCTCTCCAGTGCCTGTGTGGTCTCCAAGTTCTCGTAGGACTTGCCTGAACTGGCTTCCAATGCTTGTCCCTAGCAGTGAAGTCTCTAGATGGCATAGCAAGAAATGTCACTGTGTTATGAATCAAGGAGGGCTATATCAGAAGACAGCAGCACCAGGGAAACTTAGAAGGCAAACAGCTTTATCTATGCTAGTGGACTAGAGGGAATCTGAGCTCCAAATCCCCAGCCCCGTCTTGGGGCTAAACAGTCCCCTGTATAGGTGGTTAGCAGGAAGTACAAAAGGCAGACAACAGGATTTTCTGCAATCGTTAGGCATTGTCTTGTCGTATGTTGCTAAGCAGATTTATTTCAAGCAAGTTAATCAAAGGGTTACTGTCATATAAGAGGGATGTCAGGGCTGGGGTGAGCAGAACTAATCATTGTCTAAGACTGAGCCAGGGCTGATTCTGGGTGATAAGTTCTCGGAACGAGCTAACGAGATGCACCGCCCGGCTGAGTTACATTTGTCCTGAGGTCTGCAGCTGGTGCTGGAATGCCCAGGCTGGCCGGGCTTTGTTGTTTTCTAATGATAGGACCTGCATGCTCTGTTTTGGACAGTCCTTGAATCCAATATCCAGTTACAAGTTTTCAGATTGCCTTTACAATTGAGGCTTCTTGGAGGACACTGAAGAGAGGGACAGGTGTGGGTGGGAGGGTGCTGTAGGGTGTCTTCAGCACTGCTGAGGTGAAGTCCAGGTACCTGATGTCTAGGAGGCCCGCAGTTGTGCAAGAAAGCAGAAGTCCAGACGGACCTTCCAAAGCCTGGGTCCTTGATGGAGAACTCCTGCAGCAGGAGGGAGCAGGTGGATCCCAGGGAACACGAAAGGAATGACAGGCCCCTCTCAGTGCATGCTCTGGCCACATGGATTCAGTAAAAAGTTCCGGGAGCCCCTGGCCTGCATGATGCTCCAGGCTTCGGGTGGAGTGGGGGTGAGGTTTCTTTTTACCTAAAGGCAAAGTGCCTCAGTGACTCAACAGATGCGTCCTCTGGCCACCACCGGGGTTCAGGTTCCCCAGAGTGCATGGTGATGGAGACCTCAAGAGTGAGAACCAACCTCGCTCAACAAAGGCTCCCACCAGTGTGTGGCATCTGCTCTGGGAGAAACACATCATGGTTGTCATGTCTCAGCCCCCTTTAGCATCCCATGGCCTGAAGAAGTAGGCCCCATTCCGAGGGCTCCCGGTCCCTGTCACATCAGAAGTTTGAAGAATTGGTTTCAGTTGCTTGGGTTGGTTTATGTTGCTTGTTTCCTGGCTTTTGGTTCTCCAAAGCACCCCCTTTTCCAGGAGGGGGTTGGGGCAGATTGTACGGAAGCCCCCAGGAGAAGCATGGCTAGGCAGCAGAAGATCCAGGGGCGCAGCTGTGTGTCTGTGCCCTGCCTTAGAAGGCAGGTGCAGTTGTTCTTTGGAGGTGACGTGAGCCCTGCTGTCCTCACAGCACTTTGGGCTGGAGTAGGATACGGAGCCGTGCATCCTGCACCCTACACTCACAGCCCCTCAGTCCCTTTGGAAAAGTGTCTTTACTAAGAGCTTGAGGGAGAGAGAGGAGGCTCACGGCACCACGCATGAGTGATTATTTTCCCACTACCAAATCCCTTCAGAGGATCGCCTGCCCTGCAGCAGCTTGGGTGTCCTGGGCGCTCAGCGTCCCTGCCCTCAGGTCTCCCGGCAGGGCGCTGCTGCAGGGCAGCCTCAGGCTCAAGGGGCTGAGGTCCACTCCAAGTCGTGGTTGGGGAACTGTGCCAAAGCCGACGCTTCACACTTCCCTGCCAGAACCCCCACCGGCCACGGGCCTTGGCTGCCAAGGCCACGATTGCACGGGAGCTTTGGGGGACAGCAGAGCTGCTGTTGATCCTTAGCCAGAGCACCACTTTGCGAACATGCGCAGTCCGGTCTCAACCTGCGCACACGCTGCGTGACGAGGTCCCTGGAGCGCTTCCAGCTGCTTCTGCGCCCTGGTCCTAGCAGCAGACTTTAGAAAGCGGCGCAGGCCCATTCTCCACCTGCTGCTGCGGTCTGGCTCCTGCTAGTCTAGGCGTTGGACACTTAGCTTTAGTGCCTTTTTCCATTTATAACCTTAGACTGTGACCATACACAGTTCCACACGTCACAGTGCGCATCTCTGGAATCCTCGTTCTCCTAAAAGCAATACGAACGAAGCTGCAAGAACTAGTTTTACTGACAAGATTTTTTTCCTATGAATGTGCAGAGGTGCTGTCTGCATTTACCTGCTGCCTTTAGTCCTCTGACTGCTGAGGCCGTCCACAGCCCCCGGAAGCATTACCTTTCTGTGTTTTTGTTTTCTAGTGCATCTACTGATAGCTGATGTCAAAATGGCTTGAGGTAAGTTTCATGCTTGCATGTAAAACCATTTATAGAATCATAGCTTTTAGTATTAGAATGTAGCTACTTCTAGCAAGTGGAAATTCTAGGTTAATGTATTCCTTGTACAGTATGATTTTACACATATATAATGACTATACTTACATGACTGAGTTATAAAAAACAGGGTACTGGTTATCTATGTATCTTGAATATTATGAGCTTAAAAATTTAGGGGAAATTTTATATTTTAAAACATTGTTTTAGGGTAAGTGTTATAGCTCAGCAGACTAAGCAATTACTTAGGTAAGCAGTAGGGGCCAGGGTTCAATCCCTGGTACCCCATGCCATGCCAGCCACGCCCCCTGGCATGCTGAGCCAGCAATGGAGTCTGGGCATGGCGGCGCATGCCTGTAATCCCAGGGCTTGAATAGCACTGTTTTTGTATTTTTGTACAGGGTCTACAGGATCTCACTACATAGACCGGACTCGAGTGATCCTCCTGTTTATAGCCTCCCAAGTGCTGAGATTACAGGCTCTCACCACCACACCCAATCTCGATCACCTCACTGTCTCAGCACCCTGGGGCAGGGCCCAGCATGGCAGGCCAGGGATCAAACCCCCAGCCTCTCTATCTGCCTAAGCAGGCGCTTTAATCTGCTGAGCCATTTGGCCGACCCAATCCCAGTGCTTGGGAGGCTGAAAACAGGAGGATCACTGTGAGTATGAGCTGCATAGTGAGACCCTATTCCAAATACATAAAAAAAGAAAGAAAACAAAACCCATAATTAGATGATACAAATAAAGCTACTGCAGGTGGCCTCCTCTTAAAGATGTTTGTCCTTTCTGTAGCACTTGTGCTTCTGGTAGGAACCTTTCAAGATTATGCCTTCCTGATTTCCTTACTAATGCAAAGCCAGTTTCTAAAATTTTGTCTGATGTTCCTTTCAGCCTCAGGACTCCCACCGTGGAGAGAATCACAGACTTCTCATGGCGTCCGGGCCGATGAGAATTTCCCCAGCCCAGGAAGAACTTCGGGGGCAACACGCACTCGGGCAGCCTCCAGGGCGTGGTGCCACTGGTTTCTGGGTGGTTCCTGGTTAGGAGTGAACACAATTGCATTTATAGTCCATGTGTCCATCACTACTTAAGCATAGTTCTCCCCTCTGTTGTTTATTTTTATTTTGTGCTTTTTTTTACAGTGAATTTCTGTGTAGACACTACAATATATGGGTGTTTCTTCCCACCCGACATGTTTCTCTAATAGCTCACCAGATGAGGTAGCTGAGTCTCTAACTCGCTTCCCCCATGGAGTGTGCTAAACACATACCAGTTTACAGAAAAGATGTATTTTTTGTATAGAAAATTGTGTATATCTTTTACCCAGGAAGAGTTTTTTAAACAAATGAGTAGTCTTCTAAATGAGCTTACTATCAGGCTAATGTTGATTTTTTTGGTGCTTTTGGAAATAATCCCTTTTCACTAAAAGCGTGTGAGGCATATCTTTCCACTCAGATTGTCACCTTCTTTGTCAGTAGTTTGTTTCAATGTTTAGAAATCAAATGAAAAAGCAACCACAAAGATCTGCTTGACTTCTCCACCAAATCCCAAGCAAGAGAGAGAGGGACGGAATATCTTGAGAGAAGGAAGTGTTGCTCAGTTATGTTAAAAGATGATAAAAGATGCCAATTTCAGTGTACTCTTTATGGAAATTTTTTCATTCAAAAGCTGGGCATCAACTACAGTGTCATCTGGTTGCAGGACAAGGAAATACAAGAAGATTCTGTCGTGGTTCTTAGATTTGTATCCAGCGTGAAGGAGGCCTTTGGGTTTGGTCCTATTAAAGCGCAAGTCAGTATGTATTTATTTGGATTATTCAGGTTGTATTTTGTTATTTCCAAAAGTGATGAGCATGAAAAGCTGGTCAACCCAAAGTGAGCTTCTTCTCATGTTCGGATCTCAGTCCTGATCCGTGTCAGTGGACAGGCGCTTGGCAATCATGTGTTGCGTGTGTTACTACTTCCTTGAACAGACTGAAGACCCCCAAGCTCCAGGTGCTGAAATGCGGCTGGAGCTCCATTTGTCCCGCGCCCACCCGCCCGGAAGTAGGCCCTCGCTTTCTGTTGTCTAAGTCAGCTGTCTTTGAGTCCTCAGTTTTCCAGCTGTAAGCTCGCCCTTTCTTAGGGAACAGCCCAAGTTGCGTTACTCGCGCTGCGCACCCTCCAGCGCCCCCACAGGCAAACTGTGCGCTACGCTCCTAAGCAGATAAAATCCAGACTTCAGCTTCTGTAAAATGCCATAGGAAAGGCTTGCAATTTGGACAAATTAAACGTGTTGTGTCTAATTCTTTAGGAAGAAATCATCCCTGCATTTGTGTTTTAAACTTAGCTTTTGTATCCTATATTTGAAAACACCAGCTGGGTTTACTGCTCTGTAGCCTCCCTGTGGGGACCTCTATTGTGCAGTGTCTCCTGGTGTCCAACATGCAGATTGAGGAGGTGACCTTAAAGGTCTCATCTTTTCTCCGCCCTCAGAGCACCCTCTCTCTTTAGTGCAGCACATTCCTTCTTTCCCTCACTCCCTTAGAAATAATTTCCTTGAAAGAATTCCCAGCACTCCTCCAGCCTCTGCTTTCTGACCTCCATCGGTTCCTCAGCTGCTGTGAGCTGGAGTCCATCCATCCACTCTGAAGATGACGTGGCTGTCAGCCGGTGCCTCTGCACAGAGTTCTGTTCCAGGCAACCTCTCCTGTGTTGCGCTGGGCTTGGCTCTGTCCCTCAGCATCCTTCCCGGGCCCATCTCCTGCTCCCTCAGCCCTTTCTTCCCGGGTGATCCCATCATGCTCAGGGCTTCCCAGCCTCCTCTGGGTCCCTGCTGCTGCACTGTAGTTGCGGGAGCTCAGACAGGCCATTCCCGCCAGCATGCCTTCATCCAGGGGTCACTCTGCCCTCCAAAGGGTGGACAGCTCATGTGTCAAGACTTTCTGGGCCACAGTTCTGTGTCTAGTTCCCTGGTAACTTAGGAGGAGCCAGTAGGCACTATGTAAGTCAGTGGACTTGGCTTGGTTCTGAAGTACGTACAAAAGCAGGCCACATGGACCACAGTTCACTGCCCCCTCTTTATGCCACTGTCTTTTCCTGAGCATCTTCCAGTTCTTGCTTGCACATGCTCTTCCTTGAGTTGCTACACCTTCATCGTACTACTCAACCAAGAACTGGCCAAGTCTGCTTTCTCTGCTTTCAGCCCAGGCCTCTTTTCCATCCTACAAAACCTATCTTTGTGCTGTTCTCATTATTGTCTCTAGTTTAGTGTGGTGTTATCCTTCCTTTAGGCTTCTCGCCCCTTTTGTTTTAGTTGAATTTATGACTGCATGTGTGGGGACTACATTTCCCAGACTCCCTTGCAGGTAGGCAACAGAAATTTATGTTCACAAGAGTTAAGCTAGGAATAGTGACAGTAATAGATCTGGCATTGAGCAGTCAGGAAGGCTTCTGAAGAGGTTGCAAGAAAGTGCTAGGCATGTAAGAAACAGAGGCAACAAGTTCCCAGTGTGCAAAGGCCCCCAAACTTGCCTTGTTCCAAAACACAAGAAGGAGAAGAGCATGACCAGAGCTTTTTTTTTTTCTTTTCAAAGTTTTATTGATAAACATTTAGCAATGAGACAGTTTCAAATCAAATCAAAAGTACAGTTTCAACAAATAATACACTGCATATATTCTTCTTAGTGGTTAATTGCTGTACAAGATGCAGACTTGTGATCCTACTTACAAACACCATTAGAAAAAATCATTCTATTCATTAAGAGAATGCAACTATATATCCCAACCACTTTGAATACACAGATACAAAATGGACATTCATAGTTATACCCCAATTTTTTTAAGTTCCGTTGTTGAATATTATAGGTGTGTAGACTCAGCAAAATATTCTAAAAGAGTCCAGTAGCCCATAATACCATTGGGTCTTCTGTTTAACGGGCAATGTCAGAAATTATTGACCTGAGTCCTCCACAGCTCAACATAACAACATGGCTTTACTTCCTATATTTCATCTTCATACTTTTCTGCTGGATGGTTAAGACCAAGGTAAAGCAGGACCTGTGCAACAAGAGTTGTAGCTTTTTGGTCTGAGAAGGTCAGTGAAATGCCCTCAGGATTTATCCTGAGATCCTGTACCTCAGAGTGTAGAACCTTTGATGACCAGAGCTTTTGCATTTTTTTTTATAAGTTCCCACCCAGAGGAAGTCAAATTCACTTGGAAAGACTGGCCGAATCCTAAGACTATTGGTTGTTGCTGGACAGGTGGTTTCCTGCCCAGGACACTACTGTGAATAGAACAAGCTGAATAACTGTCTGCTGGCCACAGAGTGAGCTCAGCTCGGAGCACAGTGCACCCCAGGGGCTCCTAGATCTGAGGCACACAGAGCCACACCTCTGGCCCCTGAATCAGCACAAGAGGCCCTGTAGTGGGTGCTGGAGCAATCTGGGATCAAATTTGTCCATGTGGTGGGTGCCAAGTCCCACCCTTCACGGACCTCTGGTCAGTGGTGACCTTGCCTGGCCATTTCCCTAGTCCCTAAGTCTCCACTCCAGGACACAAACTTTTGCAACTATTTTACTTGGCAAGCTGGCCCTCTACCAGGCATGATGGGGCAAACCTGTAATCCCAGCACTCTGAGCCTGAGGCAAGAGGACTGAAATTTGAGCCTAATCCGGGCAGTTTAGGAATGGCCAGGAATTGAGTGAGATGATGTAGCTCATTGCAAAGACCAGCACTTAAACCTGTATACTGGTCAGCCTGTAAATAAGCAAGTACATACCCCTGCCCTCTGTGTCCTTAATCACACAGTTTGGCAGACTCATCTGGCATATTTAACTCCACAGTGCAAAATCAGGGGCCATCACTAAGCACGAGATTGTCCCCCAAGCTCCGCCTGGCTACAGTTCGTGCGCCACAGTGTCTCCTTAGGCTTCAGGCTACCTAGGGGGTGGGGAGAGACTGCGAGCCACCAGTGACTCACCGCGGAATCCCCAGAAGCCAATCCCTTCCACTCACACTGGACACCCAGTGTCTGCCAGCCCCTGGCAGCTCACTGCCACCCGAATGCACCTAAATGAATGGCTTGAGGGCCAGGCCAGAACCACATGCAGCCAGTACATTCCAGCATGGGGGGCAATGTGGCTCCCAGGCAGTGTCCCAGACGGCATGTCTGCCAGCTCTGCTCCAAGGTGTGGGGCCCTCTCAAACCCAGGAAAGCGATGCAGCTGAGAAAGGGTGAAGGGCCCCTGCCGGTGACCCACCTGCTCTTCCCCACAGGGGGACACTGCTCACAGGTGCAGCGACTACATCAGCCCCAGCATGCCTTCAAGTGGCATTTGAGGATTCTGTGGCAAGGCAGAGCGAATGGAGTGGAGTGGGCAGTAAACTTAACCTTGGTGAACCGCAGGAGCCAGGGGGCGCGTGTCAACGCGGATGCCGTGGCCCTGCGGCTGGCCATTTAAATACCTCCTCCCTGGAGGGGTCCCAGCGGGGATAGTGGGGCAAATCTGTAACTCCAGCACTCGGAGACAGAGGCAAGAGAATTACAAATTCAAGCTCAGCTTGGGTAGTTTCACTGGACACGTAGTTTAGTGCAAAGGCTCTGGATGAAAGCCCAATGCTCTCTAAAATTTTCTTTCAAACGAAGGCTGAGAAGCCCTTGGGGCTCCGGCCGGTGACTTCCTCGGGGTCTAAGTCTTGGCTCCAAGGCTTTGCAGCCAGAGACGAAGGGGTGGCTGTGGGCGCCCGAGTGTCTGCGCAGGTCTGTGAACGTTTTGCTCGCCTTGTTCTCCTTCAGGGTTGACAGTGAGGAGCTCAGTGCAGGGGCCGGGCCAGGGGATTCGCGGCTCGCCTCTCCCATCTGACGTGCACGGGGAAGAGGCGGGCTGTCCCTCCTGGTCCCAGCTCCTGTCCTCCAGCGGAGCGGGGTGGGCCGCAGAGCAGGGAGAGCCGGGAGAGCTCCAACAGCCTCCAAACCCTTCCCACGGCGCTCACAGCTGTCGTTCTCTTCATCACAGAAGAGAAGAGCAAATTAATAGCAGACTCAGCCAGCTCCTCATACGGCCCTCAGAAGACCGAACATTTTCCTCTGGAGGAAACAAGGTTTATGACTGACCTTTCTCCTTAAACAACGCAGGTGCTCCACATACCAGCAAGAAGTCCATCTGCGCGGATTCCCGCGCTCCTGTCTGCACTTTGCGTTCAAGAGCCTCTGGGGTCCTTTATACAAGGGGGCGGGGGGAGTACTAAGGAGACCAGCGTGACTTGGTGAGCGGCAGCACCTTGGTAACTAACACCGCGTGAAACACTGCGCCCTTTTGCCAGGAGCTGGAAGCGCCTGGTCGGGCCAGAGTTGGTCTTTATTGTTTGCCGTTCAGGTGCCAGGTTTTCTGCTGATGTCGTATTCCACACTGAGAGGAGAAAGAGCTCGCTTCAGCTAGCTGGTCCCTGCCTCGGAGGGAAGGTGCTTCTCCTTTTTTTCTTTTAGGACCGATTTTTAAAATTTACCGTTGCTCAAACAACACACAAATTACTTTTAAAACTCAAACACAACAGAGAAGTACAAAGAAACCCCACCCATAATCCTTCCATCCAGAGATTAAAAAATGCCAGTGCTTGGGGTGTAGCCTCCAACATCCTTCTGTGCGTGTTTACAGAGTGTATAAACGGGTGCCTTGGGCTGCTGAGCTCAAAGTCTCCATCCTACCGATAAGCTGCGTCTGGTTCCTGGTTCCTGAGTAGGGCTGCCCGAGCAAGACACCACAGATTGGGAGCTCTAGGCAACAGAAATCTGCTTTCTCACTCATGGACGTAGGGGGTCCAT